CTAATTCCAGCCTCCAGCTCTAATTATCATTCTTTGCCGAGTTTTAGCTCTAACTCGCACACAGAAACACGCACACAGACACACACAGACACAGAGACACAGAGACACAAAGACACAAAGACACAGAGACACAGAGACACAGAGACACAGAGACACAGAGACACAGAGACACACAAACACACACAGACACACACAGACACACACATACACACACACACATACACACACACATGCACACACACATGCACACACACATGCACACACACAACACAGACGACACACAACACAGACGACACACAACACACAACACGCAACACACGCACACACGCAACACAGACGACACACAACACACACACACACACAACACACGACACACAAACACAGACGACACACAACACACAACACACAACACACACAACACACAACACACACAACACACAACACACAAACACACAACACACAACACACAACACACAACACACAGCACACAGCACACAACACACAACACACAGCACACAACACACCCAGACCCACACCCCCACACCCACACCCACACGCACACGCACACGCACACGCCCACACGCACACGCACACGCACACGCACACGCACACGCACACGCACAACACACACAACCGGGGCGGACACCCACGCGGAGTGCGCACGCATGTTTACATATCTAAACCACTCTGTTTTGCACTGCTTTGATGCTGACCAGAGTATCGCTGTCATGTGGGGTTATCCGGTCCTTTAATTATTATTGCTGTCTTCTGCTGGCGCTTGGCCCCCCACCTGCCCCCCGCCTCCCGGCACAATATCCTGTGCTGTCTGGTCTACATGCTGTTGTTAGTTTGGTGTTTAATCGAACAGTTATTTGACAAATTTGAATGGTATATTATCTGTATTGGGAGTCATATTCTTTTGGTGCTCTGCTGGCACCTGGCCCGCTACAGACTTTTGATTTGTTTTAGGTCTTAATATCACTATTGCTGTTGTTCTGCTGGCACTTGGCCCCCTGCAGACTGTTTATTTTTTGTTTATTCTGGGTGTTAGTGTCATTATTGCTGTTCTTCTGCTGGCACCTGGCCCCGTGCTTCTGCTGGCACCTGGACCCCTGCGGTTTTAGTCTCACTATTATTGCTGTTGTTCTGCTGGCACCTGGCCCCCTGCAGACTGTTTCTTAGTACTTATTATAGGTTTAGTGTCATTATTGCTGTTCTTCAGCTTGCACCTGGCCCCCCCTGCTTCTGCTGGCGCCTGGCCACCTGCTGTTGTTGGGATTATTATTGCCTGTTGTGCCCTGCAGGGGCCAGGCACCAGTAGAACAACAATTATAATATTATCCAGCATAGATGATAGTGGCAGAGCGAGTGCATGCCCAACGCCTTACCAATCGTAAACTGCATTGGTGCTAGCAGACGTTTGCCTTGAGCCGTGGCCTGAGTTTAGAGCTTGAAATGCCTTATCCATCCGAACATATCCCTCTATAATATGGGAGGCCAAATCGAGTAGTACTAACTAAGTCAGGCTGCTTAAAAGTCTGCAATATGGGAAGCCAAATCGAGTAGTAGAAATTAAGGCAGGTTGCGATCAAGTTTATGAAAAGCAGAGTGCCAGTAAAATCTCTGAGGATTTAGGATTTAGTGGTGGATGTGCTTGCTTGATCAAATTTATGAAAGGCAGAGTGCCAGTAAAATCTCTAAGGATTTAGGATTTAATAACGGCTGTGCTTACTCTTGATCAGAAAAATCTTATCGATTCGCTTGCCTTGACCTAAATCTGAGCAGCGGGCTGGCCGTGGGGGCGCTAGAGACCTGCCAAGTTCCAGCTTGTTGGTCGTTGGTGGGGGCAGTGATCCATGCCCCGGAACTTAATAGCCACTAACGCCTGCGTGACCACTCGTAGCGGCCGTCCCTGAGGTCAATGCGCCAAAGTCCGAGGAATATGATAGCGGGACGATACGCTAATACGCCCGCTGGGGGTAGCATATATATATATATATATATATATATATATATATATATATATATTTATTTATAGTCGCCACCGAAGAGTCGCTATTTTATGCACAACTTTCCTGAAAGAAGAACATAATATAGAGCAGCTTAAAAATCTGTAATATGAGAAATCAAATCGAGTACTACCAGTAAAAACTCCAAGAGTTTAGAGTTTCGTAATGACTTGTATTTACTTGCTGACCAGAAAAATTCTTATCAAGTCACTTACCTTAACCTAGACATTAAACTAGCCGATCCTAAACGGGAAGTTCCTTAAGCTTTCTTATGAAGAGAAGAATAAAAGAGACAAGAATTCTCATAAGACAAGTCATAAAACAACCGATTACTTTGTATATTTTTTCCATAGACAACCTATAGGCACCCCAAGCAGACAAGTACATTTATACATCAAATCCAAGTATTTATATCATAAAAATCATAAAATATTCGATTACTTTATGCGTTTTTCTATAGAAAATCTTCATATTAATCAGAAATACCAGCGGACAGGTATATTTACACACTAACCTAAGTATTTATACAAGAAATTCATAAAGTAAATTTTATATATTTTGTATAGAAATCAGCTACAAGAACCTCCAGCAGACAAGTACATTTGCGCAACAAATCTAAGTATTTGTATAAGAAAAGCCATAAGGCAACCGGTTACTTTATGCGTTTTTCCATAGGAACCATCAAGAGGAAAGTGCATTTGCACAACAAATCTAGGTATTTGTGTAGGAAAAGCCATAAATAGCAACCGGTTGCTTTATGTGTTTTGCCATAGAAAACCCCATATGTCTATAGGAATCACCAAGAGAGAAGTATAGAACTGTGAAAGGGACTGACTACAGCTACAGCAGTCGAAGCTAGCTTTGTGGACAATGGGAAAAGACAAATAATATCAAATGATGTTGTATTTAGATCCACACTCACGAAGTGGCGCTCCGAAAAATGCCTACTCATGTGCTGTGGCAGTCCAGGGCTTTGATTCAGCGCCAATTTGGCAAAGAATCAAGACCGGCGCAGCATCTTGACTGCCCACTCCATGCTTCTATCACTCAAGTTGCAAGGTTGTAAAAGAGTCGCGCACCGGCCACGGTCGTGAGCAGTCATCTCCACATAGTGATGCATCACTACGTCATTCTGGTCCAGGAATAGAATAGTAGAGCCGGAATCCTGTATGTAGTCAAGTTCAACAAAGGGATCTGGATGTTCCTCGGAAAGATGGTAGCACGTATGTGGACCCATACACACACAGTATTCTGGGTTGGAAAAAAATGCATGATGATAGAAGGTCTCGCTGCGTAACATGGACGCATGAAGGACGGCTCCTCTCTGGCTTGCAGCGTCTCCACCGTTAGAGCCTGGACCACCTCGAGCAAAGGATACGGCCTTCATAGCCAACATGCCTAACACATGCCCGTGAAGAGCATTGTTACTTTCCCACTGTTCGACCAAAAAGGGAAGAGAACCCCTAAGCGACTTTCTGCCGCTCTTGTCTCGATTTGGCACCACGTATTCATCTGGCGAATGAAGCATCAGAACCCATCGACTCAAAGCTCGCTGTGTGGTAGCGCAGTGAGCGTAGGCGTGCATTTCCGTGCAGAATGGATGCTCTGTAGATAGTCTTGCCAAGTCATCAGACAGTGTGGAAGGCCACCGCTTTTCATACGAAACAAAGCTTCGAGTGTGAATTCTTGAACGTGTCCAGTTCTCAAGAGCAGCCTCCAAAGATCCGTCAATGTCGTAGAGTTGAGCATGTTCAATGCCCAGATATTCCATATGGTAATGCAACCAATCTTCCACAACCCACGGCACTTCTCTTTGCAGTCCCGGCAAATTGTACAAAGTCTGAGCACAGAAAGCCAAACGCATTAAAGGGCGTCGAACCAAGCACAATTCAACCAGCATAGTTGCGCTTTCTAGCACCTGTTTGCTGCCTGATCCAACAGGTTGCCCCACTCGTTGAAGACGCATTTCCACATTGATTTTGCCAGGTCCATCCGGCTCATGAATCCAACGCACCGATCCATCAGCCAAGTCACACTCAGCAAAATCCAGAGCGAGCTCATTATTCCGGTAGCGCATCAAACGTCCAGTCAACCAAGTTCCATTTTGATTAGGGAGCCCACTACGCTTGCGGGCAAGGCGACATGAGACTTCAGTGTTGCGATGCAAGCCCTGATTCTTGCATTTTTTGTAGGACATCCGTGAAGAATGTCCCAGTGAATCACAATCCAGACATTCATCGAATCCAGGCATTGTCACCTCCCAATCTGCATCGACAAGTAAAGCGACACGAAGATATGGTGACTTTGCCATTCGTCCCATCTCCAAACCGTTCTCGCTGCCTGCCACTGATGCTGCGAAGCCCTTCACTCGTGAACCCTGAAAAATTGTCACAGGAGGGCTCCCGCAAAGTACGTAGCGATTCGAAGGCAGGCCATGAATTGGAAGGACAAACCAAGATGCCCAAGCCACCAAAGCGAACATCAAGTGAGTGGCCACAGAAGCCTCATACAGTAAGCTTCGCCTGCTTGCAGAGCATTGTAGAATAATGAGAACCAACATGGCATGCCCTGTATCTTGTCTCAAAGCTTACCCAACAAGAACGAAAAGTAGGATCTGCGCTGTGTCACCTGGTTTCTGCTTGCTGTTCGTGAATCAGAACTTGTCATCACATCCATTCTACAGCAAATGTTCTGCGCATGCTATGCACTCTCGTCTCTGTGGCCTGTGTTGACTGGCCTGCCACTGCTGTGTATGAAGCTACCACTACCGTGCTCGTGGATTCGCAATGGGATCGTCTTCGCTTCTTTGTATGCGCGCCGCTACACGAAGAGGCACGCAAGGTCCCTTTGCACACAAGCCCCGCAACCCCAAGAGTAAGAAATCAGCAACAACATATATACGTGGTGCTGGAAAGGTCCTCCTAAAACGGTCCTCGGTCTTTTCAATCACAGCAGTCAACCAGAAGCCTGCTTTTGTGCTAAAAGTATCATCCTAGCTTGCACTGCGTGAGTCGATGGAGACCATGGCTTGGCGGCTCCCACAGGCTCCCTCGTTTCAACAGGAAATACCTGCCAAGAGTGCACTTGGCCGGACTCCTCGTGCCTCTGATTTGAGATTCAGATGGCGCTGGAGCACAGGCCCTAAATGCAAAGCACCTGTGCGATCTGCAAGACAGCATCGAGTCTTGGCTTGCAAAGGTACGGCTGGAGACGGAATGCAAGATGCCACGAACGGACGGTCTTGCAAATCTCATTGCAGCTGTACATGCGGGAAGCATCTCCACCATCCCTGAGTAGCCGTATTTCTGAAGCGCATGTTGCTGAGAGCTGCGCTGCCAGGAGCGCCGTGAGCGCCGAGGATTGTAGCGCCGACGTGGAGAAGCGTCACTGGCTGACACCCTTCGTGCTGCTACCGGTTGCCGAAGTGTCGGGGTCGGGCCAGGGGCAGTCGTTAGAGATGCGGTCGAAGGCAACAAGCTGGAACTAGGTTGACACTGGCACGCTGCTGCTGGAGCCGCTGCTTGTCCCAGTTCGTGAAGTTTCGATAGCTGTAGTGGTGGGCGAACCAATAGCAGTCATTCAACAGTAATCGACGACAGTACACTGGAGCTGGTGGGTGGTGGCTCTGGGTGCTAGTGGACACTCCAACGCTGCTGCTGAGTGGCGGTCGACGACAGCATGCTGGGGCTGGCGGGTGTACTGCTCTGAGTGCTCGTGGACAACGTCACTTGTGCTGCTTGTGCCAGCTGCAAAGGTTCTGTGGACGAGACACTAGCCGTCGTCAAAGCAGCGGCTGTCGACATTGTGGCAAGCAACCTCGCCCAAAGTACATCATAACATGCGAAGCGTCGTTTCGTGAGTCGGCGCAAGCTTACCTTCAGTAGCTTGCCAGTGCATGTTGGTGCAAAATCGCAGGGACGTGTGAGAAGCATGTGAGCCAGTCTAGTCTGCTTACAGTCAACACGTTCGGCCTTCGCCTTAGGAGGCACACAAAGGACCCACCATCTACGATCGTTGCCCTGAGTAGGAAAGGGCAGGATGGTCAGCAACCTGTACCGATGCTCAGGAAACTATCAAAGCAACGCTTCACTGGCACCCTGCACTTTCGTTTTTGTGGAAGAGATTCACGGTAACTCTGAGAACTTTCATTAACTTGAACACCCAAAAGCTCTGCCCACAAGCTCGGAATGTGCTTCTTGATTTGTCGACGTCACGGAGGTGTCACTCAGAGGCAGGCGGCAGCCAAGACCCGTGCAGAAGTGACATTCTACAACCTACCCTTTCCATGGTCAACGCCCTTGCCTCAGTTCCAAGCGTTTGCGGTGGTGCGGAGATTGCTTGGTGCCGCCATCCAGCCTGTGATCCGGGCCAGTCAAGTCTGGCAAATCCAAAGGAAGTTGCCCATAGTAAAGTTTTCATGAACAGCTCAACCCAACAAATCGAACAGGCCCTGCTGGCTGAGCCAACGGAGGAAACTTAGCCTGCTTAGAATATGAACATTAGATCAACTGCTGTATCCCAACTCAGTGCTCGGCTCAACTTCAGTGCTTGACAGGAAGTCCTGCCCTAAAGCCCGCGTGCAAGCATGGCCTTGACCACTTGGAGCCACAGGGGACCATCGCCAACCATGAAGCGAAGCGGCATCGTTTCGCACAATCCGAAAAGGGCTCATCTAAACCACAATATTGAATAACTGCGACTAGAATATCGTGATGTGGGCTTTGTCGTCTTCAAAGGGGTTTTCTGTTGCAAAACCTCGCTGTTGTATTCAACTAATATGATCATCGTGAGAACCTTGGAGAAAGCCTCTCGACCCTCCACAAGTCAAGCTCAGGCATGAAATACAGAATGTCTGATGCCATCGGGGCCACGGGCAAACGTCTTTTTTTCAGAGCACCTTGGGATAGTACTGATTGCTGCTAGCTCTTGATTTCCATTCTCTTGCACGCTTCGTCTTAATACTGTGCTGCGAAAATTTACCAAACCTGCGGTAGCTTGCAAATTGGATCTCGTGGTTTTCGTGCTGCCTTTCATAACGACAAGTCTGGGCACCAAATCTTTGCAGGCGGATCCTCTTTGCAAGTGCCTGTGTACCAGGATCTGCGATCACAGGACGACGGCGCGCGTTCATTAGGTCAGGCTAAACCATCAGTACGAGTTGTTGCGGTCAGCAGTGTACAGATTGAGTCGATAAGCACGCCGTCAGATGCGGCGGTACGATTTGTTCTGGCCTGGGTCCTGTCAGAAGCCGCCAAACGTTGCAATCGATCCAGTCTGGCCCAAACAGGGTTAGAAACAGCCTTCAAGACCCTGCGGTACGATTGCCACGGCAACTCAACTCCAATAACTGTTCTGGAGCTAAGACAATGGCTCGCTTGCCGACCTCTGTCCGAGGCACCGATAGCTCTGTCCGGCTTGCTCCTCAGCAGCGATCAAAAATGATCCGGAGTGCCGGCCTCTTCAAAGCGGCGCCGAGTTTGGTGACTGAGACACTCAGCAACACTGACAGAAGGTCCCACGTCGAGCTCGCGCGCTGCTCGCAGCAACGTGAATCACTCTTCCTCAATCAGCACCATGCGGGATTCAAGCTTCCTTCCATGCTGTGTCGGTGGCCTAGAGCGACACCTACAGACCGACCATCCATTCGGACGGCTCTGGGCAGGAATCTCCCCGGCCCCGTCGCACATAGGCACTCAAAACATGCTGTGGCTGCCATGCCAGGTAAAGCGTCGCCCAGAGCTGATATGCACCCGAGTTCCAGCCCAGGCATCGAGTTTTGGTGGAATGAGCGGTGCCATTGAGTAGCAGAAGTCGCCACCAGAGACCCTTCAAGTGGACCATATGTGTGTCAGGTCCCAAACTGCCCTCCACAACTGACTCGGCCTGGTTCAGGAATCGGGCGGGCAGGCCCTGTATCTTCAATACCAATTTCTCATGTCGCGACACATCGATCTCAACAGATGTGATATCGGGCCAGCAGACTAAGCAATCCTCGAACAGCAAATTCTGCAGGCCAACAATCCAAGCAATGGAAGCCTGACCTGGAGCTTTGAATTCGCGAAGGACGTCTTTCGGGAAGTCCGGATCGGAATGTACATGTCCGGAGTTCACTGCGGCAAGGGTTGTCCTGAGGAGAGTGCTTAGAAAGGCTTTGGCACCATCTGTATATCTGAAGATCTGGACACCGGAGTTGATGCGCACATGTGCATTCTTTGTCTTGGCAACATCCTCATTGTGTCCCCAAGGAACTCGGTGGTGCCGGTCGTAAAATGTGAAAGCATACTCCCACTCGGCTGCAGGCTCCCGAGGGAGAAACCTGACTAGCTGCTGCACGAACAGCATGTCCGAGTCGATGACGACAACATACTGAAATCCCAAGCCATCCGTTTGCTCGACCTGCGACAGAACCCATTCAAGAAAGTAGATGTTATTGAAAACGACCTTCTCGTCGTGTACACGAGGATCACAATCGCAAAATGCCTTCGAACCGACTTGGCACTCAAAGCATCCCGTGCTGCCATCGTCGGTCTTGTCTTGGTCCTCCCTCAGGAAATCTTCCAAGCCCGTACCTTCAGCAACTTCGTCTTCAAAGCGGCGGGAAAGCACTTCGAAGCTGCCTTCTTCAAACTGCACGCCGGCAAACAAAGCCTTCGCACGGTTTAGATGGGAAGCGTCCACATGGATCGTCCACACTCTCATGCTATGCCACCCACTGGGAAAGCCTCCATACATCATCCGATAAGACCCGAGAAAGGGTGCACAAAACTTGTCAAAGTACTCGGTACCCATGCACATTGACAGAAACAAGGTTCTCCCCTGCTCCGGAGGGTCAGCTGCGTCGAGTTGGCATACCGGCACTGCTCGATTTGTTCGATCATCGCTTGCAGCTGGGCCCTCAGCTCGGAAGTGTGCCTCTGCGCACTCGATGGCTGAACAGCTATCATCAAAATACAAAGTGCACCCGCGGGCCAGGACCACAGCCTCGGAAGTAACCACATCACCCGGCTTGTCCAGTTCTTGCATAGCGAGGTCACATTCCCGGGCGCTCATGACCTCCAGATTTGCAGTGCAAGTTGCCCCTGGCTGGAAGTGTATAGTATACATCCTCGGAAGGTCTCCGGGCCAGAAGTTCAGGTCGAGGTGCTGTTGTAAAGCCGCATCCAAAAAGACTTTCTCTTCTGAAACTGCGCCGTCCGCCACTGTCCGGATCATATCGACCAGCTGTGCAGAGTCGAAGTTGCCGGGCACCAGCACCGCCACGCCCTTACTTCTCAGCCACTCGGCAGTCGCAAGGACGGCCAGACGCTGCGCAAAACCTTGCCGTGCTGCCTTGGAATTCTTTTCGCTGAGCAGCATCGGGAAAAGAAGTCGGCCCGGCTGCTCGGCAAAGCCGCTCATAATGACCGGCACTCCCCTCAGAAGACACAGCTTCAGAGAGGGCATGTGGCTGCCTGCGAAGCTGTCAAACGTCAGGTGCATCGCAGCCAAGGGCATCCGTAGCAGTGGCCAGAGTCTCTGCATCTGAAACAAGGGCCAATCAAAGGCACCCGGCGGCGCAACGACTAGGCCGCGCAGGCGCAGATGTTCCACGGCCGCCAAACCCCCAGCGAGGCAGAGCTGCAGGGCCTCTGCGCTGACAGCACAAGGAGCTTCCTCGGCGACCTCTCCGGGGCCGATGAGGACCAGATCCAACTTCGACAAGCCCAAGGAATGCAAGATCCGGTCCACTGCGAGGATCGTGCCCGTGTAGCTCAAGTCAGCCGAATCGATGTGCAGGCTTACAAAGAGCTCGGACAGGGGCACTCCTGCCTCTTCAAGCATCAAGGCCATCTCCTGCAACTCCCAGTGGCTGCTGCTGCTCCGTACATTGACATACCTGCCTCCAGCTTGCACGAAAGCCGCCAGGCTCGAAGTGTTGAATCCTGCTGGGCTTGCGGTTGCTGTCGTTGCTGGGCTCAGCCCCAACGGCGGCGGCACTTGCTGAGCTGACGTGACGACGCCAAGGCACAGAAGGCACGAGACTGATAGCCCCATGGTCAGCAAGAGGGTCATTCTGCGTACCGTGCACCATGACTTTGACTGGCCTGGCTATTGAGTGGGTGTAGCTGCAGTGCCACAGCAACGATGAAGAGTCCACACACTGCCACCACCAGAACAGGAATCGATGCGGAGGGGTTGTGTCTGGAAACAAGAAATCCCTGTGCAACAAATCTAGGGATCTACCCAGCAGGGAGGGAAGCCTTCTGGGTGGGTGCAGAATGCTGCCAAGGCAACCCAGCACTCAACTGTCAGTATCTTTGTTTGCTCCTTTCAGCATCGTCCACTTTGGGACAGGAGTGTACATTGACGTTAGCAGTGAGCAAGCCTGCCCCGACAGAGATGTGTCAGTGTGGGCAGCAGACAAGTCAGTGCAACCTACTATATCGGCAGCACAATTCCGACTCAAGAGTTCTGCAACCTGGCGCAAGATTGAGAAGAACAGCGGCTTGGGGGTGCTCTGGTAATCGCATTTTGGCATAAACTGAACGCACACAGCAAGGCTCTTCTCTTCTATGGAACCCATGGACCTCATGTCTGACAAATTGCGGCCAGTCCCTGAACCGGCCCCAGACGACGGAGCGAAAGTCGTGTCCTAAGGTGCAGGTCTACAACTCGGCAAGGGTGTCGTCCTCAAACATCGACATGCGAGTACATCATGACGATCCCCGCATGCAGCTGGCATTTTCTTGCTCTCTGCTTGTGCGCTCAAACGCAGCTAAGGTTTTGTGCAGAGTGGGAGGCGCTCTGTCGAGCGGTGATGACCCCCTCCGCGGCCTGAGCTCGGGTCAGTCGAGCCCCTTTTGGGGGCCCTGCGATGGCGTGAATACATATTTGGAGAAACCTTCTGGCTTCAAGCTGACGAAGCCATCTTCAGCGCGGCTTTCAAGACTCACAACCTCGGGCTCTGCTCCTTTCCGGCTCCAACTTCGCTTGACTTTCACAGACGAGGGGGGCCTTGTAGAAAGCCGAATGCTGGAGTCCGAGGGGAGCTCCTACCCCGCGGAGCTTTGCTCGTGTGGAGTGGGCTCCTCGTCTCTCTCAACGACTCGCGGCTGTCGCGGCGGTTTCACGTCCAACCTCGCACTCCAGGAGCAGAAGGATTCCAAGCTGGTCACAGAAACATTCTAGTGCCTGATGCCGAATGTAATCAATGTAATAAGCGTTCCGACACTGCATGAAAGGACTCTTGAAAGCTCAGAGTTGCAACCCCTAAAGCCTTGAGACTGACCAACATTGCAGCACAAGATGCCCTTTGGCTCCCAGGCTTGGTGGTTGGCTCAAGATCCCCGATCTTGTAGCCTGCACAGAGCGAATGCCTTTCCCTCTCTTGTCCTGCAGAACTTCTGACAGAGCATCTTCACTTCCTGTGTTTTTCAACTTCTCCGCGTGCCAGCTTATCAAATGCAAAGCAAGCCCGGGCAGACTCCTGAAGCAAAGCGGCAGTTCGAAATTGAAGCATCAGGAGACAAGCTTCCGAATTGGCCAAAGGCGGCACCTCTGTGGCCTGCACCCTTGGACAAGAGCAAGTGCCATGGGAGGTACTCTGCAGATGGATCCGCCGTGGAAGCTCCTTGAGATTGGAGTGTCGGTGATGCACTGCAATGGACAGGCCATGTGTCATGGGCTGAGAATGGGCGACCCACTTTATGAAGCAGTCCTAGCTTGCTCAGACATGTCAAAAGGTCTCTGTAAGGACAAAAAGAAGTCAAGAGTGGCTGCGGGGCTCCTGCAGCTGACGAAGAACTTCGGCCTGCATGGCCTCAGGTCAACGCTAAGGCGGAGACTTCTTCTTGATGTCAGACTGTCGTGTTTCGGTCTTTCGGCCTCCAAGGCGGTGCTCGTCGAATCTCTCAGGCCGGCGACCATGTTTTGGACGGACTGGGTCGCCAGCCTCAGAAAGGCCAACACACCCCTTGGACCTCGAAGAATTGGAAACCACCCCTGTCACCAATCCACGGATTCTTCCTGCCGAGATGGGCGAGGTGCAGCGGTGCAACAAGATCGCTCTTGTTGGCCTCGCCGCGGATCTTCAGCAAACCATGGACCTCACAAAAGATGCCACAGGGGCAAATGAAAGCGGATAAAGTCTCAATTCCAGAACATGGTGGTTTGCACACTGCACGTGATGCATTGTAGGTTCACGTGGCTATGCGAGGCCCAGGTACGTGCGTGCGGTGTCTTTCTACTGCATGGTGACCAAGATCTGGCAGAAATTACGACCCCGTCCAACACTGAGCCCACTCTCTGAGCGCAAGTGAGAAGACCACCGAATTGCTTTGACTGCAGCCCGGGTCAACGTGAAGGGCTCCAAAACCCAACGTGCTGATTCTGCAAGCTCAATACCTAGACAATTGTCGCATGCCACGTATCCCGTACCTGGTCTCACCAAACGAAACTACGTGTGACGGAAAAACTCCATGCCGTCCCCGGCCAGCTCAGCAATATGGAGCGTGCCGCTACCGTCGGCATCGATGACCTCCGAAACAATCGTTGCTGACATGCGAGGCTTAGCCCACCTTGTGCTCTTCTCCATTCGATGCACATCGGCGACTTGCAAAATCTGCACTCTCCGATCGTTTAGATTCTGGTAAGGGTGTTGAGAATTCCTACCAGCAAGGTCCCGAAGTGCTTTCATGCATTTCACCTCGGCCTTTACGCAAATGGGAGCACAACAATACTAGCACCAGCAAGCTTAGGTTTCGAGAGTAGAGTGACTACACGACCTCATGTCGAAATGTCCTACCGGTATTGGTGACCTCGTCGATGACTACCTAATGATCATCACAGTTGAACCATGTTGAATCCCCGGCGACATGCCCGACCAATTTCCCTTATCCGAAAGCTGCCAAAACTGCTTGTCCCGCGATGCAGATGTAGACCTTTGCCGAAATATCTACTAAACATACCAGAAGGCAGACGAGCAAGCTAGAGACCTTGTTTACAAAGAACCTCCGCGAGGTTGGACATTTTTGAACTGTTCAGTAAAACGTATTGTAGGATTGTAAGAACGGCTTGACTTTTGCCAGGGTCACGTTCAAATCATCAATTGCAAGCGGGGGAAGCACGCATCTTCTTTCTGTCGGCTTCACTGTTGCCGGCATCTTCGTCTGCTCCTTTCTCTGCAAACCGCTCTTCTGCTGCAGTCCTGCTGCCTGCTGGCTTCTTCGAACGAGTCAGTGCCTCCGCTTTCATCCCTCTTCCCTACCTCGCCAAAAAAGCCGCCGCCCTTCTCCCAGGACCCTCTCGAGGCGGGAAGAAGGCAGCCTCGAAGAGCCGTGCTCGCTCTTGGGGTAGCTCCAATTCATCCAGGAGAGCCTGCACGCCTCGCAGAGAGAGCTGTGACTACACCGCTTTGTCTTTTGCTTCTTGTGCTCTTGTGCTTTCCAAACGTGGCCATGAAGCAAACATGTTGCCGTGCAGCAAGGGTGAATGCCTCGATCCTGGATCACCAGCAGGAAAAGGTCCTGCGCTGTGGACAGCCCGTAGAGACTGAGGCTTCATCTGCAGCCACTGTGATTAAGGCTCTAGGGCTCTGCAGCTTGGGGATGCTTGGGGACCGGATCTTCCTAGTAAGTCCGAGGCAAAGGCCAAGAATGACTTGTTGAGGAATTGCTTGAGCACTCTGCCGCCCCCTTCGGCACGCTTATGCCTTGGGAAGGATCCGTCCATCTATTTACGAGAACCTCTTGCGACAAAAGGTATCACAAACCCTTCGGACAGGTCCTTCGTAATCTGGATGTTCTCGTGGATCTCATCGTCTGTGAGCAAAGTAGCAGACGGTGTCAGCGTCAGTTTTGACATGTCCACATGATGATCCTCGCGTGGCTCAAGCTCAGTTATAACGTCCAAGAGCCGACACATGCAGTGGAGAAATACTTTCGTATCAAGCAGTCAGAGTAGTCGACAACGCGTGCCGAAGAGCTGGTGCTACTGAGGTTGTTTGTCGTTTGCTTTGAGCTTTCCCGCGGCAGAACGGGCCAAAGCTTGTGCAGTGAGCTTGTCATCTGCCAAATCGATCCTGTGTTCCTGTGCCTTACACCTTTCAGAAGAAATGGCACTTGCTGTCCTCCGTCTCATGAAAAATGTGATGGGCTGCAGCAAACTTCTTCAGCAACTCACGGGTTGCACGTGCGATGCGGATGGACTCTCGAGCGTACCTCGGCTGTCGCAAAAAGGGCACCAGTTCGCGACTCTGGGCAAATGTCGGAGAAGTGCTGTTCTGCACTGACCGCGTCGTTCTCCTTTGCCGCTTTCATCGTGATATCCACATAAACCTCGGCCGCCGTGAAGCAGAACGTCTCAGTCTTTGGAGCGGAGCCCAAAGATGTGGGACGTTTACGATTACACGAACAACAGAGACCCCGGATCGAGAGTAACCTTCCAAAGCATTGAGCTTACAAGTCTCGAAGTCAAGAGCCAGGACACTGCCAAGATAACGTTGAAAATGCCCATCGACACGAGCATGTAACTCGCAACGTAGCACGCCTGCAGGATTGGAAAGATTCTTCAAATTTTCGCACGAGGCATATCTCTCGACACAGCATGCACAACGAAAGCTAGACTGGCTAAACCAACTTGCATGGTCAGCCCCATATGTTCCCGCCACAAAGGGCACGCCGAACTCGTCCGTCAGAATTGATGGGATTGATCGACCTTCATCAGTGACCTGGTTGGCACGATATTTTGGCGAGCCCAGGACATGTCACTGTGAAACTCGATGCTTGCGACAATGTATGAAGTGGTAAGATTTACATCCGTCCCCAGTTGCAAGCCCGCCCAATCAGCGCTTCAACTGGCTCTGCGAACCACGCAGCCATGCCCAGCAAGTATTTGCTTCATTTGTCAAACGATGACTGGGACGAGACCAAACGCTTGACAGTGTCCATGTTCCGGGACTGGAAAGTGTGTAGACTGCCGAAGCGGCCATGACCACAAGTTCTGCCAAATTCAACCAAGTCGACTTGAAGATGAAAATGAAGTGGCTTCTCGAGACGAGCGGCACACTCGCCAGTAAAGCATCGGAAGGCTGTAAACATAGACATTGGTATGTTGGAGAAATACACTTGGAGTCCTCGAAGACTCGGGGTCGGGTGCTGTCCAGGAGTGATGCCCTAGGAGAACGGCTTTGGCGTCGGATTTACGGCTGGACCTTCGGGCTCCAGGTTCGCTTCGCTCTTTCGGGTTTTCGGCCATGTATGGTTCTGGGCATGGTTTTTGTATTCTGGAGGAGGTTTGGGGTTTGGCTCGCTCTTAGAGTTTTCGTGGTTCCAACCCCTGGATAAGCTGAGCACTGGGAGGGAGCGCTGTTTGGTACACAAAGAGCAATCTCCAGCCCTCACTCGCTTGGAACGTTAACACCCATGTACCAGCTCCTAGACGCCAAATTTCCCGAAACCACACTAAAGAACACATCTTTCTAGAGGACCCGCGAAGAAGGCCGAAGCCTGCAAGGCCCACGAAATCTACTGTTTCTTGCCACCGGTGCCCTACGCATCTGATGACTCCCCATGGTTGCTCCCAGTCATATGTTCTTGGTACTTTCGAATCTCCATTGCCACTGCGATCCGTTATCCCTTCTCCAACCGTTTCAAACTTGCAACCGTGCGGAGATACTGAAACATGGAGCACAGGACGTCGCGATGGCAGAGGGAACACATCAGTCCTAGTTCGCGAAGCCGAGCATTGCGCCCCATAGCGACTGTGGTGAATCCAGCGATGACGTAGAGAACTGCAGCGAGCAACAAGAATGCCAGGGACCTCGAAGCTGCACAGAAAAGATAGCAGTGCCCAGCACTTTTAGGTTTCTTGGATGCACTGAAGCATCTGATAACGACAATCAAACCTGTCCGCCCAGTCGTGCCGGCTGTCAACAACTGCCAAAACGACTCATCACAAAAGCTTCAAAGATTCAAAACACTTTTCGCTCTTGCCGCCGTCATGTTGTGCAACAGCGTAGAGTCAACCCCGAACACACTCAGCTCTGGCTGACACTCAAAAGGGTCGAGCGGCAGTGTAGCACACGTGATGGGCATCTGCCGAGCTAATTCCAAAACCCTCAAGTATTTCGCGACTCTGCAAGACAATAGAACCTGAAGAATCAACCCTTCGAGGCATCATTTTTGCTTTCGTGGCCCTCATATAACTCAGGCGAGCGACAGGGTCCACACTCCGGCAACAAGTCCCTTGATCATGAGGCGCAAATCTCCTGATTCAGTAGCATCAGAAGTGGCTATTAGGGTCAGGGGTTTCGAGTCATGGGACCCGTATTTTAGTGCTTGAGAACCTCAGGTCTCACTGAACATGGCTGATGCCCGGGACAACTGACTGAGGGTTCGCGATGTCGATACAACACACCCGTAATCTTGGCAGGCCTGTGTCCCCTTTCCAGCCGTTCGAGAAGCTAAACGCGGACACCTTTTATCTCGATCCCTGTGGAGCGTTCTCGGGTTTGCCTTTGGTGCACCATCGGCGCAATTGGTGTCCTCAAAGCATTGTCCACTAGACTTCAGGACAGTTGCTGTGATGAGGTTGAATTGAATTTCATGGCTTAGCATCGAGTGAGCAAGTTCAAGCGCGATACTCTGCTCCTTCCAACTTCAACCTGTGCTTAGACCCTGCCTCTATGAATCAACCCCGGGAGCACATGCAGTTAAAGGAACGGCCTGGGCTTGGGCAAGCACACTTAATGCACATCTGAGTGGCTCATGAATTTGAGACGGAAAACTTTCACAATCCGCGCCAAACGCAGCCTTCGACGTGCATCAAGCCGAGTAGACTCTCTCGTGTCTCGTTGGCCAAACGATTTTCTGGTAATATTATGTGTTCCGTGAAGCACGACCCTGGCATCGAGAACAAGAACCTCAACACTCGGATGCAAAGCGCCATGCATCACCGAGATCGCAAGACATGTGTATTGCCAAGGTGCAGTCGGCAGAAACGCAACAGGTTGGCGCCGTCCATCTCTGTGCTTGCCTATCGCGAACATCGGAACCCGTTGAGAAAATCACAAATGCATTGGTACCAACAGCCACCTCTAAGTGCGAGTCTCCCCAAAGAGACAAGTGCATGCGTTTTTAAGACGGGCACTATACAAGATCGGCATGCAATGCTTCGTGCCTGCCAAATCAGCTGCAGCGCAGCATCTGTGATGGCCATTGCACCCAAAAAGGCATCGAACCAGTTCCACAGCCTGCGACGACAACGTTATGCAACAGTGGTTCGCGGGGCCGCGCACTCGACGCACTCAGTTCCAAAGCCTGCGAGGACTAATTTAAGGTTGTGCACGCACATGATGAGCTACAACTCTGCGACAAAACTGGGGCGACGTCGACGACGGAACTCGGGAGTCGACGGTTTGCGCACTGTAAGATACCATGCAACTCAGCAATGAGTATTGCAGAAATGGGTGGACAGGCCCACGCGCCGGTAACATCACAAATTCTGCAGCCCTCTGGGCCCACGGAGTTTGCTGGACTGGGGTTGGCTTTCTTGGGGGGCCGGACCCGAGGCCGGCACTAACGCAGGGACGAGCACCATGGGGCGACAGTGCCATTTCTGCTCTTTCGTCTTCTCTGTTCCTTTCCCTTCCCTTTACCTGGCTCCATTCATGCTTCCATGCGGCCTCGACCTGACGCTCTCGTGTTATCGTTGTGGCCGTCATCGCTTCCTGCATCCGCTGGCGGCGTGGTTTGGGCTGCTCTGTATGATTGGGCCCTTTCGCTCCTGCTGCGTGACCGTTCTCCTCCTACGGCTTGACGGTGGTTTACGATATGTTGTGACCTCTCCTTCTCGTCTCCGGCTGTGTGTGCTACCAGCCAGGGCGTTCCTGCTTTGTCCTCGGCGTGGCTTGGCGCTGTCTCTCCTCCGTCAGGCCGCAATCCTGTGCACTATTGGCCTGTCCTGGCGTGTTTCTGCTGTGTTCTTGGCAGTGCCTTTTGGCCGTCTCTCCTACGTCTCGCTGCTTCTTTGGGCCGCGCCTCTGTGCGCTGTTGGCCTGTCCACTGCTGCGTTCCTCTTTGTCCTCGGCGTGGCCGGTGTAGCCGTTTTGGCTGCTACCTGCTTCTTCGGGCCGCGCCTCTGTGCGCTATTGACCTGTCCTCTGCTGCGTTCCTCTTTTGTCCTCGGCGTGGCCAGGGGTGCTTCTTCGGGCCGCGCCTCTGTGCGCCATTGGCCTGCGTGTCCTCGGCGTGGCCGTTTTGGCCGCTACAGACTCACTCCTACCTCCTGCTGCTTCTTCAGGCCGTGCCTCTGTGCGCTTTTGGCCTGTCGTGCTGCCTTTCTGCTGTGTTTTTCTGGGTGGCTTTTTTGTGGGGTCGCGCCTTGTTCACTATTGGCCAATTCTGCTGCCTGCCTGCTTTGTTCTCGGCGTGGCCTTTGGCCGTTTCTCCGTGTTCCTTCTCGGGCTGCGCCTCCGTGTGCGATTGGATGCCATATTGGCCTGTCGTGATGCGTTCCTGCTTTCTCCTTCTTTGGGCCGCGCCTCTGTGCGCTAGTGGCTTGTCCTGCCCGTGGCATTTTCGCCGTTACTCCTATCTCACTGCTAGGCCCTTTCTCTTCAGCTCCTGCTCCCTCACTCGCGCTTGCGGACGGGCGGCGGCCTTCTAGCTACGTGCCAACCGCGTTCTGCCCGGGGCTACTCCTTAGCTCCTTGCGGCTGGGCGGCGGCTTTTCTGGTTACATGCCAGTCGCCTTCTGCCAGGCCCTTTCTGCTTAGCTCCTGCTCCTTCACTCACGTTCAGGTTGGCTTCTGCTTCGGCCCTTTCTCGCGGGGTGGCGGTTCCCTTCTCTTGCTACGTGCGAGCTGCTTTCCACCTCCCTCCGTGGTCTTCCCTCCCGGCAACTTGGTCTGCATTATGCTAGAAGCCCCTCTCGAACCCTTCACAGAGTGCGGCCGTGACGTTATCGGGGTTGCCCTGCGATGTGAGGGGGGAAGTGCGTGGGCGGCTGCAGCTACTGCTGCTAGCCACTTCCATTCTATTCCATTACAAATTCTGCAGTTGCCAGAGCAGCTGTATGTTCAACTACTAGGCGACTGAGCCGGTGTTTGGAAATTTTCAATTCCTGCTTCGAGGGGTATGCATGCAATGAAATCCGGGAAAAGCAGACACGTCCTCCGATAAGGTCGGGTCTTGGTGTCGAAAGTTTCGGACAGTGTGGCCAAGACTTCCAACAGATTTTGTTTTGTAGAAGCGCCAACTCTGATCTTTGGACGTGACGATTTGGAAACCTGCATGGAAGCCAGGCTGACCCCTCAGCACCCAGTACTGACTTTGATCGCCTGCCGCCTCGGCGTTACGACTGTAGTTACCTCTGGACGTGAGTGGGCCAAACACAATATCCCCAAGGCGAATCTCTCTTGTTAAAGACAGGGCCATTGACAATACAGTGTCACACAATTGCCAACCCACATTGGCTATGCAACGGGTTTGCCATCCGTACACATCCTTGAAGGTTGAAAGCTCTTTCAGGGCAAGTGCTTCTCCGCAGAATGTACTTCCTGGAATTCAGGCTAGAGTTGAAATCCGGCCCCCTCTTTCAGATTGAAAGCCTTGTGGGGCCCCGTAAGAGCGTCGCAGTCGCAACAGGCAGGCAGTGTGCAGTCCCGATCGACAGATCGCTTCAGTCGTGATGACTCTGGCGATAAGGGTGTGCTGATGCAAATTCATGCAGTTGAATGCTCTGCATGTACAACCCTGGTAGGCATACAGCTTGCTCTCCCCACATTAGTGGCACTCCGGGTACCTCTTCTTAATATCTTCATTTGCAGAAAGCAAAGACTTCGTGAAGCTCCGAAGCCCCAGATGAGCCCTCCGTCGAGTCGAGACAATCTGTTTTGGACATTCTCCCGAAATCGCCTCTCAGCACCGCACCAGAAGTCGCGGCACTTGAGCAGTCGGAGGCGCAGTAGAAGCTCCTTCGCAGAACAGCGGGATCCGCCCGGCACTACTGATCGGAAAACTTCTGCGACCCCGGAAAAATCTCCAACCGCCTCAACAACGTGTCAGATGGGTTGTAGATGGTTGTAGCCCAGAAATGGAACGTACAGAGTGGCGACCGTCGGCGAAGGACTCATGCAACGTCGCTTTCAGGAGCGCTCTGAGTCTTGACAAAGTCTTGTGCTGCACCCGAGCAGAAACCGTCGGTTGTCGGTGAACTTTTGAGGCAATGGCAACTGCTGACCTCGAGATGGAGCGACTCGGAACAAAGAAACACACCAAACTCAAAGGAGTCTGGATGACATGCAACCCAGACAAAGAAACCAAGCTGAGATGCTATGCTGCCTGCACGGTCATCGGTATACATGTACAGGTGCGCATGCATGCACGTGTGCATGCACGTCTGTGTGCATGCGTGCATGCGTGCGTGCGCGCGTCTCGGTGTGTTTGTCTGTCTGTCTGCCTGTCTGTTTGTCTGTGGAGTCCGCTCGTCCGTCCGTCCGTCCGCGCGGGCCCTGATTCTAAGCTAGGGGTGTATGGCTTGTGCAGTGCAAGGTTGCTGTTTCTCAGTTCAGGAAAGTTTACAGGCATCCGATGTCGCAAGTCAGGGTAAACGAAACCTGAGCGATCGAGGGAAAATCTGAAAATCAATCGCTCCAAACAAGATGGCCACGGACTGGAGAGCTGATGAACGGAAGGCAAGACTGCCTGATTCTTGGAATCCATGGTAGCTATATATGCTGGGAGGTACAATGCAGCATGTGGCTGTTCAATTGGTATTGGCATGCACATGTGATCGTGTGGCTCCAGCAGCAGAATGCAGGCGAAAACGACCTCCACATAGACCCAGCCAGACCAGTTCTCGTATTCGAGGCCTCAGGGCCAGGTGTCTTCGAGCTCCGGGGCGGAGGGCATGCTGTTTTGTTTGAACAGTTTTCGCCGATATTTTCGAAGGCGGGCCCAGAAGAGCAAATCAGCAGCGCACAGAAGAACAACTGAAGAGGTAACCAGAAGACATCATGAGACCGCAGGAGCAGATACCGATGTGGACGGCGAGAAGATAAACGAGATGGAGCGGTTCACGCTAACTACCAGGTTCACGCTAATTACGAACCCACTACGAGCCGTTGATCCAAAGTGGTGTTGCAGACTGGAGGGATAAGTGCTTCGTGAGAGGAGAGCCCGTGACGCCACAAACAAGAAACAGGAACACAGAACACGGAAAGCGAGCTCTAGACACCGAACGACCAAGCCGTCTCTCAAGTTCTCTTGTATTCATCTCAATGCAACTTCCTAAACAGCGTGAATGCAATCATCGCCAAGAACATATACATAACTTGTTCCGCATCGCGGCAGCTGAAATCGTTGAGAAGGCTGCACTGGCTCAGTATGTACACGTTGAGATCACAATATGGGGGCCGTACCCAACCATCGCAACATGCAGGACGCTGTCTTGCAATTAGACTAAAACGGGCATTGAGGTTGCCCTAGGTGTCGACTTCTGCTGCTCCGCCTCACAGGTGTCTTCGTTCGTCGAGAACCATGGACAAAAGCATCCAAATAACATCGATGTGCGCTTGCATCGGCCCCGCTATGGACCCAAGTTCTTTGCAAACGGCAGGACTGGGTAAATTTCTGCCTCAATCCTGTGCAAACGAACAAACGAAAGATCGTCCACGTGAATATCGATTTAGCGTTCATAGGGTTAATATGTCGCGAATAACACTCAACCACGACAGGGTGGTTGTCAGCTTGAGCTCCTGTGACCAGACAAAGTTCGAGAATCCGACATGGATAGCGTGCGGTGCATATTCAATTGATCCAGGCCGGAGCTATTCTTCCATCAGGAGAACAGTCTGACTTGAACAGGTACTGACTGCGAGAGTATGCTGGCTCTGCCGCATCGCAATGCCAATGGGCTTTGAGTTACCTTCGGTAGAGCCCCATCCCTTTCAGCCGAATGCCGAAGCTCCACCTTCCGCACTATTCTATGAGGCACAAGTCTGTACCGAATAAAGGGCCGCAGAACTCTCAGCCACCCTTGAGCTCGGAAGATGGCACAGTTCAAGAAGAATTGAACCTACCCCAGAACAATCCGGGCGAAGGAGCTTGTTTGAAAACCGATCATGATGCCATTCGCCACAATAACCAGGCCGACGAAAGGCTCCAGGTAGGTCAACAAGCTGACCTAATGTGTGATCCCGTTTTCGGGTAGCTCCCTCAGACCATGAACCCGAAACAGTAGATCCCAAACCCGACCCGCACCCCTTGCGTCCCGGTGGATGCCAACAAGCTTGGCCCGGATTGACATCTCTGTCTAGCTTCACCGGCTCGCTTTTACTTGCTTTGTGTTTCTCTCTGTGGTTCGACATCGCTGCTGTGTGAAAATTAAAAGGGCATGCGGCATGCGAATATAGCCTGACTACCGCCCACCTTGAGACTCAATCATGATTACCTATGCCTGCTACACAGCCTGTATCAAAACAAGAACTCCCAAGTTTGGGAATCTTTGTGCTTCTGGCAGTGCCACCTGTGCTGCCTGAGCCGCTTCGTCGGGTGGTGCTGCCAGATCGTTGATGCGGACGAATGTGAGTTCTGCCACCTCGAATTTGGGGTTGGAGTCTAACTGTCAATAGACCTATAGTCTAGGGCTTGTGGAAATTCTCAAGCTTGCATGGCAGTCAGCAAGGCACAAACAAGGGAAACGTCTGCTGTCCGCCGCAGCAGAACAATACCAACTACTAACTGCCTTGCGCACAATGTCTGAAAGTCTCTTATGCCAGTGTGCTAGCCGTTTCTGGTGGCAGATTGCTGGCTTGCTGGCTTAACTCCAGGCTTCAGTTCACGCGCTTCCCTGCAATACGGCCGAAACTAGTAAGCTGCGCTGCCAAGCGATTCGTGTCGCCAGCGAGCAGAATTTCTTTGATAGCCTCAAAGTGTTTTCCAGCTAAGATTCCGATTGAGAGTCTGGGAGAGATGACATGGGCATGTGGGCACGCCAGGCCAATCTAGACTCTGGAGACATCTATGGCCTGAGCATGTCGACTCTAAGCCTCTAAGCAGTTGTGTCGCAGCGATGTATCATGGCAATGCGCCTTGAACTGCTGAAGCAACTTCGCACCGAAGATCCGCTTATGGATGTCCTCACTGAGGCGGAGAGCGGGAGATCGCACCCGAGCGAGCTTCTGCTGATTTGGCCCAGGCAGCAGTCTCATGAATCCAAGTGCCTTCTTGTGCCATCATGACCTCGATGAGCACCTGCCTGCGAATGCAGGGACTTCGAATTTCCGCGCCCCTAAACTTACTCTGAACTGAGGGGAGGCAGCCCAAACGCATTGCGGCAAGCTACGTGCAAGACTCTTGCTTGGTGAATTGCTACGGTTTCCGGGCAAAGACCTGGCCTGGGCACCAAGTTGTAGTTGCATCTCTGGTGCTTTTCAGCCGAGACGTGCGAGCTGGCGGTGTTGGAATGGTGCAGCCTGGCGAGCCCCAGGACGGGAGCTTGCTTCTTTGGAGCTCGACTACTCGTCAACGTGCTTTGCCGGGGAGCGGTGGAAGACTGTGAGAAGAGACTTGATGGCTTAGGTGGCCGTTCGTTCCGTCCTATGCGCCAGAGTCGCCGCTGAGCCTGAAGCCTGAAGCCTGCATCTCTGCATCTGTCCTTGAGGGTGGGCCATTCCCAGATCGGCTCGCTGAAGTCTTTTTGCCTCTCGCTCGCCGCCCCGAAGCCAAACATGCTGATACCTAAGCCAGCCATCCAAAGAAAAGGTGCGACATTAGGAATAGATTAACCTTCGGGAGAGTGCTGTTGCACGTGCTTCTCTGACCCTGCTCTTGTGACTCGCCTAATTCCTGGCTGGGGAATCAAAGCATGGCCACTCAAGCGCAGCATGTCAGTGTTTCATCCAGTCACCGGTCGACATCGAGTCCATGCCGATCGCGCCACCCCAGCCCTTCCTTGGTGCTGCTTGGTATAGCACATCTTGGTGGGTAACTGTCATGAAGGCGCAGGTGGGGCATGGCTTTTGATGAGGCCGGGATGTAGACAGGACTTGCACACAGCTGGTTCCGTTGTGTGAGGGACGACCTGAAAACTATATAATCCCTGCCACATTTCGTGCCAGTTTCGGACCGCAAGCCAACCGCAGCAAAGGAAATTACAAAGGACGGGCTTTTCGTGATCAGGTTTTGCCTCCAGTTGAATGTCAGACGGCTCTGCTCTCGTAGTCACAAACCAGCCCGATGGGTCCGAGGGTCTCTTCCGGCAGATCTTCGAAGTCCAGGCCAACAAATGTTGCCAGGTGGTTGACGAAATCATTCATGTCCTGGAGCTTGGGATGAATCCAGGCAGGAGCTGCGACTGGCTGGGCTTTTCTGCTTTGACACACGTCCTCGACCGTGTAGCTGGTCAATCCCAGGCCGGACACGGCATCGTGCCTGCAAAGCCCCAAGCGAAGCTGGACTCGCTGTGGGCATGGGGCACCGGGAGAACTGAAGCATTCCTGACACAATTGGAAGCCTCGGTTGAGAACTGAACATGATGCCGACAAAGATGTGAGCTGTAGTTCAAGCCCTGCTCCCCTAAGCAAAAAACATTGCTATGTCAGGCATGGATGCAGATTCTTCCCTGAAACGAGCTTCATGGATGAGATCTGGCCCAATCTCACCCGCAGCCGGTGCCTGGAAGCAGGGCGTGGCTGGGACGGCTCACTTGATCATGCCGCTGACCGCAAAAAGGCATCGACAGGCGCTGTGCCCGCTTCAGTCAAGGCTGAAGCCAGCCAGAGTTGCAGCCACTGCACTGGCCTTATGGCACGGATCTCGGCTTGGCTCAGCCCCGCCATCCCGGACCTGGCAGGATCTTCAGAGGGGCATAAAATGGGAGCCGGTCAATCGAACTTGAACTCTAACCGGCGCTTGACCTTTCAGTCCAATACTATACCGGCCAGGTAGCGTCAGGCACAGGCGAGAATCACCGTGCTCAATTCCACCGTTCCGGTCCTCCTCGCGGAATGCAGAAATCATGGTCCTGCAATCTAAAGCCTGTTCAGATGCGGGCGGGGAACCCACTGAACATACAAAAGCAGGAGCTTTCGCAGCCTCTTCTGAATCCAGCGAAGCCATAGACTTCCGCCCGGAGGCACCCTCCTCGCACAGAAAAAGTGATGAGGCTTCGGTTGGATTCTTTGCTGGGTCCCTGTGCTGATGCTGACGGCTTAGCTGTTGCATGGCGGTGTGTCATGTGGTGGGGGTTGAAGCTGGCCTGCAATACAAACTGCTGTCTTGGCGGTCGATGTCAGGCTTTCGGTGAAGATGCAGTGCAAGTTGTTGCTCCCGGCCGTCAACGAAACAGGATGCACTTGCAACAGTGGAAGCCTACTTATCCTTGATTTCACAGGAAGTGTAAACCGTCGAGACCCAATACTCATGGCAGTAACCCTGCCTTTGTACTAGCGGAGAGCACTGCAGCGCTTGCACTTACATCAGATACACATGCCCTTGCACACGCACTTAACCGTTGCTATCGAGCTCGGATCGAAAATGATCGAAAGATGAACGAGCGAACGGGAACCCTGCTCCATGACTCATGGCTATATTAGCCTGATCGGGGTGCTGTACCGAGCTTCTCTAAACAGCTGATCGGAACACTCACAAACCGCCCCCATCGAATGCCAACAGAGCCCTGACGGAAAACCGTGATGATCACACTTGCAGCTTGATCCATGGGTGACCGTGGGCCTGCTGCCATCCCACTGCCAACAGCAATTCCGATTGCATGTAGGATGGCCAATATCCGCACCATCCAAGACCCACTTCGTTGAGTGATCGATCTTGGAAGGTGGATCACCCTGCCGGACGAGTACCCTGCCATGCCCTGCCCCAGCCCTCCAGCAACCCTTGGTTGTGCTGATCTCAAACTGGATATCCATCCTTGGTTTCGACCCTCGCTGTGGTGTCACCTTGCGTGCTGGGCACAAGCGGGTTGTCAGTTCGGCTGCGAGCGCGCTGCAGGCCAGGACACTCGGCAAGCACGGAACACTTAAGTTTGCAAGCCATGTAGAAGCAGAGTGGCAAACAGCACACACTACACGCACGAACGTTCGCAAGCTCACTGAACAGCATGCCACACACCGAGCGGACGAGCAATGTTTAATCCGCTCTAGCATGGGGTTGAGCGGTCACCAGAAGAACTACCGAAGAGCATCAGAAACGACCGGCCCCCACCCCAGGACAACGACAACCCACGAACGGAGTCGTCGTCGTCGCAGTCGCTCGAACCCGCAACCGGCGAACCCTTCCCGGGACACCAGACGCGAGAGCATCTCGAACAAATTCCCTTCGTTCGAAATACGAGCAACCTCCCAGGCCCTGCATCGATCTTTTAGCGGAGCTTCGCTGGCCATGAGCACAAAAGTGTCGACCACCCAGCAGCTTGGCCAATCTCGAGGCGATCCCTCGATGGCCAGTCTGCCGGGTTGGCATCTGTAGAAACTCGATCGATAAAGAAGTTGACCCTATATTCAAGAGCCAATTCCCAGAAAACTTCAACGAGCTCACAGAGATCTTCCTTTGAAGAGTATCCTTTCACTAGAGCAGCCTCGACCGCCTCGGAGTCAATCAGAAGGAGAGCGTCCTTATTCTTCACGTGATCCCGGAAAGTCTCGAGCGCCAGAATCGGCGCGATCATCTCGATCGGGACGATCTGGGTCTTTCTCGCGAGCCATCGGTCCGATACTTCCGGTGGGATCACCTCAGTGAACTGCTTGGGAGCATCAGCCCTCCGATCGAACATCACGGCTCCGATCCGATCGGCTCCTTCTTCCGACTTCCGAAAGTCAGGGGTGAAGCCGTCTGTGAAGATCACAACATCAGCGTTCTTCTCCGAGCGGAGTGATATCTCACGCGGAGGACCATGGACGATGAGGTTCCGCCAGTAACGAAGCGATCGCTCCAGAGCCAGGTTGAGCTCCATACGATCACTAGATCCTTCGAGTACTGGCGCTCCGAGAGGGGCCGGAAGAACGCACATCCAACCTTCCCCCAGAGCTGGCTCGCTCCGAACATGAGCTTGCCCTTGAGCTTCCCTGCGGTCCCAGGATCCAAGGTACCCGCCTCCAAGATCGCGTCGATCGAGTCCAGGAGGCCTGCTTCCTCTGTTCCTTGATCTCAAGAACTAGGAGCTCAAGGTTAAAAGTCACGCCCAAGATCACAGGCGCCGCCGAGAGCTGGAGCTTCTTCTCGTCGAAAAGAGCGCCGAGCCAGAAGTGGATGCGCTCGGCCACGACCTTAGCCGACGGCGCCGTGAGATCGGTCTCGAACCCGTACTTGTCGTCGTAAAAGTTGAAGGCGACCATGCTGAACAGCCGGACGAGAATATCGTTGATCAGGGCCGAGCGGCGAATATAATTGTAGACCGCCGCCACGAGCGCGAAGGAGTGTCCGGTCATCACAAAGAACTTGGGAATGCCATCACCCGGATCCTTCAGGCAGATCACACTGAACTTCCTGTGCTCCGGCAAGATAGGAAGCTGCCGATAGGCCTTCCGCTCGTCGAGGACCCATCCTCGCAGCGGGCGATCGCCTCCTCTGGTGCGGAGCTCGCGCAGAACTGCCACGTTCAAGTCCGTGGAGGTGAGCTCCAACTTCTCGGTGATCACCGCGGTCTGGTTGATCAAGTTGGAGGTCGCACTGTCGCAGCCTCTGACCTTGATTTTCTGAACCACTTCGAAGCGTTGTGTCGGGATCCAGTCGGAACAGTCCAAGAACTTGGAGACTTCCTCTTCGGATCCGAACGGACCCAGCGTGGAGCCTTCCTTGACGTCCTCGAGCGTGGCATTCCAAAGAGACCTTAGATTGTCAGAAACAGGAACCGACCTGCATCTGCGAAAGACCTTGGCTCGCAACTCCCAGGCCCGATCCAGAGCTTCCTGCACAGGCACTGACCGCTGTGGCTTTGTGAACGGCGGCCAGCGCCCCGATCGCTGGATTTCGCCAACGATCGGGAAGCCACTGCGAATGCCCTGGAGAATTTGATGATCCGTGCAGCCGATCGCCGCGAAGAGCTCGTCGTAGAGCGCCACGTGAGTGCAAGAGCCCAGCTGCAGATCAGCATAATCCGGAGCACCACGAAGAAGCCGACGAAGAGGAGCGTCGGCGATCGACCGCAAAATGCGATCGGTCTCTGGAAGCAGCGTGAGCGCACGCCGCTGCCAGAACTGAAGGCGCTCAGAACGGCGAGCCACGAGCGCCTGCGGGGAGGAGACAATGAACTTGATGTTGTCGACGATTTTGTCGGGGAGCGCCGGCTGCACGGTGAATGGGTGCCGAACCTGAAGAGACCATTGGATTGCTTGACCTGGCTCACACTCAACGTCGAGCAGCGGCTTGGCGGCACCACGTTTGAGCTGATAGCCGCTAGTCGCCGCCAGCCGAGCAGCAGCGGATTGGCGATGTCCTTTCCAAGCAATCTGGGATCCCAAAGATCGCTTGCGTTCTGCCGACGGAGCTGTGAGAGCAAAGGAAGCGGCGAACTGCTGGGCCGACTGCTGCACGATCGCGGCCACGGCGATCGCCCACGCGTTGCAAAGCGCCGGGGGGTAGACCTGAGCCGCCTTAGTCTTGAAGATCTGCTGGCCGGTCTCCGACCTCGTGACGCCGCGAAGAGGCTCATGAACATGTCCACCTGAGCAAGTGCGTGCAAGAGCAAGAAGAGCAGCATGACTGACCAGAAGCCGAGTAGGCTTCCGGTGAGGCGATCCGTACTCGCACTGATCGAGATCGACGTTGTAGAGGTGAAGACGAACTTTGAGCTGCTGAACCTGAGGGACCTGCCAAATCAGACTATCCCTCGGGTTCTCGATCGAAGCATCCCCACCAGCTTGGACCACAGCCTCGAAAAGAAGAAGAGATCGACACAAGAGCTCATTGGCTTCGAAGAGCTGTGCCTGGTGGTGCTTTTTGAGAACGTGGAGGCCAAGTGGCAGCGCTTGCGATCGCAGGGGGGAGGTCCTCCAGGCCGATCCCTAGCCACACTGAACGTGGCGCAGGGAACGCCCAAGTGCAGATAGACGATCGCCCCCATACGGCACAGCAAGAGCAGCCAATCGAAGACCTGTGCGTCCAGCAAGTCGATCGACTCCAGCATGAGCTCGGCGGTGCACTTGTCGATCGGCGGCAAAGTCTTAAGACCGTGACGTTTCCAGGCAGCGGTGAGACCAGCAGACCCGGCAAAGATCTCGAGGCACCAGGGACCGAGCTCACGAATCGTGTCCGGATCCTGGGGCACCTCCGCCCAAAGATCCCACGGCGGCGGCCGACCTGCAGGGGCAGAGCCGGCGGCTGCTGCAGCGGGGGGGGAGAGAAATCCCCCGGTGGTCTGTCGAGCACCGGTGCCGGAGGGAGATGACCAAACTCCCCCGGCGGCGGCATGGGAGCTCAGTGATTGCCATGGTAGGGGTGATCACCCCCGCACTGCACGCAGATATGCTTGTTCTTGCATTGATCACCGAACCGACAGCCGAGCGAGCAGTTGAACCATGGGCAGCGGCGAGCTCCAGTGTAAGAGAAGGACATGATCTTCTTCCACTCCTTCTCCGGAACCCGGGTGTCGCGATCAACCTTGTCCTTCTCTGTGAGCTTAGGCACTGAAGGCTTGTTCGGCTTGGTTTGGTCACGAGCGCGATCGCGCTCTGCACGAGCTTGCTTGAGCAACTCCTTTTCCTTCTGCCGGCGAGCGCGATTCTTGCGAGTCTTAGCCTCGTTCTTCGGAAGTGTCGGCGGAGGGGACCTCGAGCGAGGCCACTTCGGAGGAGTAGCGCACTCGTGCTCGACCTGGCGGAATTTTTCAAGTTCAGCTGTGGAGCGAGCGTCACTCCAGAGCTGCTTGTAGTTCTTGAGGACCTCGCAGAGAGCCTCAGAGAACGTAGGGAAGTCCTTGCGCTTGTCGTTGTTGAGCTTGTAGACTTTCTTCCTGATCAAGGAATCAGCCGCAAGAAGAACTGCGAGACCACGATTCTCATGGCGCCACTCCTCAAGTTCCGAGAGGTACTTGAGGGGACCGGAGTCAAAGGTGAACTCGCAGATGTTGAGGTACTCGAGCGCCACAAAGAAAGAGTGGAGGCGATCCATGACCTCTGTCTCCGAGGCGACCGCCACCTTGTTGTCGAGCTGGACCACCTTCAGGAGATCCTCTGAAGTCTTTGAGAAACCAGGTGTTTGCACCATGCGGTCCGAGCGGGAGCGCATTTCAGCGACCTCGTAGAATGCGACCGCCCCACGGACCATATAGTCCCGGTGGATCCTCTCGACGAACTTCCGGTGCGGCTCGCGCATATAGGTGAGGATCGATGATGTCGGGGTGCTGAGTGACAAAGAGCTCCCGAAACTCAGCATGATCTTCTCCAGGAATCTCTGGTATTTTGGATGGATCCTCCTCCATCTTGGCCCGTCGAGAGGCAACGTGTTCTTGCAGAACTGAGGCTGACTTCCAGATCGCGGTCAGGAGCGTGAGCGAGAGCTCCTGTGCCGGACCATCGGCCCCGAACTGGGTGTCGTCTCCAACGATAGCACGGAGCGTTGCCTTCACCGATGCGATGGAGTCCCCGAGCATGGACATGCGCTCGACGGAGAGCATGCCTTTATCCGCCATGAGAAGGCATAAGTTCTCGGGGAGCTTCTGCCGTCCAAAGATCTGGCGCAAGGCGAGCTCAGGGGTCTTGTCCTTGTTCGGGTAGACCGTGCGGTCGACCATGGCCGATCAACACAAGAGAGCCTCAATCAATGCTTGAGCAAGCTTCAACAGAGTTCCCCAGATGCGAAAAAGGCGCGAGCAGGCACAGCACAGCTCAGGATTTTAGACCTTAAAGGCGAGAGCCACGTCTGGCCGAGCCTTAGCGCACAGTTTGCAAAAGAGCTTAGGGTCAGGAAGAACGGACCCGATGTGTGTAAATTCGGGCGTGATCGCGCGTTTGCATGCGATCTCTTCCACAGAATCTGCAGAACACACATGAAAACGATAGTCATAACTAGAGCCTTTGACTGGGACCTTGACAAAGAACTCAGTCAATGAAAGATCCCTGTCCTCTGCGTCCTCGATCGTGTCATCCTCTTGAGCACAGAGGGGCACGAACTCGCGCGAGACCTCCTGCACCAACTCCTTGATCATTTTCGCTGGAAGAGAGAACCTCGAGCGCGTGTACTTCAGAACGAGCGGGCCTGGGTTCTTCCAGTTCGCCTGAACCCCGATCTCTTGCTCCGATCGTTCACAATGGACAGCCAGATCAAGCATAGTTACTCGAGCTGAATGCCACGTAAGATCGGTGACTTTGTCCAGGAACTCCCTCGCGACTCCACTCTCCTGCCCCGCAAGCCAGACCAGGTGGTGGAGCCACTGGAGAGAGCGAGCGTACTCAGGGGGAGTCTGGCGCCAGCGCTCCTTCGTGTCGAGCTCGGGGATCCAGAAGTCGCCTTCCACGAGCGGGAATTGCGAATCGAACAAGTCACTCCCGATCTTGAACCAAGCCACTTTAGAAAAAGCAACGTCTGGAACCATGAACTTGGTGCCGCGCCGCTTCCTCTCAGTCTTGGTCTGCCAGGAGATCCCGAACAGACCGTCAGGTTTGACCTCTAGCTCGTGAGGCTTCACGTGGATCGCGTCGTCAAAGCGGAGCGACGCAAAGATCATGCAGAGGACCCACCAGAGGAACACCCGAGCCGGTACAGGGTGAGCTTCAGCGGTCGCCCTCGCTGTGTGAAGATCTCCTTCTCAAGCGCCTTTAGCTCCGCCGTCTCGATCGAGGGAAGCTTGAGGTTGATCCGAAAGGCCACCCATTTCAGAGCCATGCGGAGCGAAGGAAGAACAGTCGGGCCGCACTCCCTCGAGTCGAGCTCCATGGCGTACTTCAGGATCTTGTCGTCCGAGATAGGGTAGAAGGGGAGCGGCACGTGCCGAGCCCACACTTCGAACTTCTCGAACCTACGAATGTGGTTTGCCATGGTAGAAGGCGCCCCCGAGGTGAAAACCAACAGCCGAAGGCGAGCGCGTTCCTCTTCCGAAAGCATCCCTTCAGCATCGTGCACCCCTTCGGGCCGCCGAGCGTGTTCGCCGGCCCGATCGGCGATCGCCTTCAGGCGCTTAGCCCATTTCTGTTTCTCGGCATTCTCCAAGTCGAGCAGTGGAGTTGCCGAGGGAGAAGAAGAGCTTGCCGGCAGCCTCGATTTAGCCGAAGGAGCCAGAACTGGTGCAGCTAGAGCTCGGATGGCCATCTCCCGCTGAAAGTGTGCGATCGACTTTGCAGAACGTTCTCTAGGCACCTTAGAGCAGCGAGCAAAGCCCATCTGGTAGCCGAGAGACTCGACAAAGAGCGATTCCGCCGCCTTCACGAAGACCCAATACTGCTCGAGCATTTGGGTCCTCGGAGCCAGGAGGTCGTGCTCCGACTTGGCCGAGCTGGCCGTCCAGTTGAGAGACACTGCGGCGAACTGCTCGGGCGTCCCGGCGTCCATCGAAAGGACAAAAGGGATCTCCGCCAGCCGGGTCGCCACGATTGCCTGGCGAAACCCATGGTCGAAACATGGGTAAGCAAGGATCTTCGCTGTCCAGCGATCGGCTGCCTCTGCTTCCCGCAACATCCTGCCGAGCCAAAACTAGCGAAAGAAGAAAAATCAAGAACGGCATCATGAGCATCGTCGTTGCAGTGCCCCGACCAACCTTCCCGGCCAACCGAACGGCACGACGAACGACGAACGACATGACTGCCGTGCACTGTGAACATGTTGCACTGAAAGAGGAAGGAGAGAGAGAGAGAGAGAGAGAGAGAGAGAGAGAGAGAGAGAGAGAGAGAGAGAGAGAGAGAGAGAGAGAGAGACATCAACAGTGAAAACATGTGCAGAACTGCTGACTGGCATCTGGCTGCACCTCGAAATCTTTTGCCCGAGCGGGAGCAGTCGTGGCTCCAAAATGCGAGCGAGAACTTAAATCGCCTTCACGGCATCTTGGGGTGAACACCCTTGGATCAAAACGGGTGAGCACCTCTGAGCTCGGCCTCGATCATGGCGTGCGGTGCGGCCTGAACGAGGTCGGCTCTCCTGCTGGAGCCAGCAAGTTCTCCGGCTCGGCCTCTTCGACCACGACCGTGGAAGACTGAGCTGCCGAAGAGGTAGCGTGACCAGCCGGGTTGTGGTACGTGTCAGCCAGCTCAGCGAACTGCGCCGGTGTGAGCTTTGCCGTCGAGCGGGCAAAGGAACGATCTTGCCGAGCATCGTCCCTGGCAGCATCGATCATGTGCCCACGGGTGCCCTCCTCCTCGTTCTGATCGTAGTCCACAGGCTGAGCAGGTGGTCGATCTTCGGGGGCGAGCGCCCGGGACTCCATCTCCGCCCGATTGCGATTGCGAACGGCAATCTGAGAAGTCTCCGGCACGGCGGTGTCAGAGCTGACCGCCGCCTGCCGCCAAGCCCCTTGAGCAAGAGCGGGTGGGCCGAACGGCAGCGGAGAAGCCGACTCCTGGGTGTGGGTCATCTCGGCGAGCGCCGCCCTTGAGACCACAGCCCCCTGCATCACGTAGAGCTTGCTCTCGCACTGAACGTGGAAGTTGCCATGATCAAGGCCGCCCACGAACGAGACCAGCACGCCGATATTGGCATAGTCCGTGGTGAGAGCATTATGCCACCAGTTTTGGTGAGCGGCCGCCAGCTGAGCGAACTGCTCAGTCTGCTCAGGCCCCTCCACCCGTGCCCGCTGATCACGGCACCGGGTGATGGCCTGGATGAGCGTGGGCCCGCTGATGTGGGAGACCGTCAACCACGTAGCCGGGACCGAAGTGCGAGCGCACTTCAAGTCCATGCGATTGTTGGCATCCCGATAGCGGAACTCCAGCCGATCGGCGTCATTACCGACCGCATCCTCCGAAGAGCGGCTGCACACTCGGAGCTCGAACCTCGAGCGGGCATGATCTCCAGCCACGACCACGCCCTGAGGGCCCACAGAGTAGGTGCGACCGCCGCACTCGAAAGAGAAGACGGAGCACTTCCAGCCGGTGAAAGCAGCCACCACGACCGAGAGCCGCACCCGACCACGGCAGACGTCGCGGATCAGCAGCTCGTCAGCGAACTGCTGCTGAACCGACAGATCCGAGTCGGCACGGTATCCCCTCAGGATCCAGTGAAAGAGGATCTCATTGCCATTGTACACCTTGATATCGGTGTACGATGGCGACGTGTTCCTGAGCACCGGCCACGAGAAGGGCTCAAAAGCCTCCTGGGCGAGCGCCTTGGCGGTCTGAGCAGACCAGTCTCCACAGGGAACTCCTGTCGTGGAGTCCACTGAGATCGCCAGTGTCGCTTTTATGCCATCCAGAGTGTAGTTGGCAAAGAGCGACATGTGATACCCAGAACTGGGAGTCATGACCTGATCTCTCTCCGTCAAGACGTTTGTCGAGGAGGAGGCGTTCGTCATGATCTCCCGAACCAGCCATGCCTGAAAAGGCGAGACGATCCTCTCATCTCTGGTGTCGACCATGATGATCGAGGTCTTGCGATCGTCGTCGTCACAGGTAGCGATCGACTCAATGTGCTGGGGCAGACGAACCTCATAAGGGTTGTGAGCAGCATTCGGGAAACGATCACCACCACGATCACGGCGGTGGCGCCTCTCCCTGCGCCTCGGTTGATTAGGGTAACCAGAATAGGGCTGCGGCTGATCAGCCTGCTGCTGACCCCAAGCGTCCTGACCCCAACCAGCCATAGCTCGAGCGAAAGCTACCCAGGCCCTAGACCTCACCTGATCGGACACAAAAAGATCCTTCGCGGATCGAGACGATCGTCTCGACCCAAAATGGCCACGGATCAACGTGGTGATCAAAAGTCAAAAGAGCATGCTGATCACATGCTGTAGTGTGACCCTCCTATTCCAGACCTACCTAGCCGATAATAGGAGAACCGAACACAAAATTTGCCAAAACCGCTTCTGTCCTGGCTTTGGCTCCCGCTGTTTGCCGGGGTTTCCACCTCGGCCATCACATGACGGCTTCACACCATTGGCCCAGCAAGCATAGCTCAGCCAGCATGTTACATCAGGTAGAGCACGAAGGGTACGAGAGAGGCAGAACGACGTAATTGCAAGTAGTTTTTCTACATTTTGGGACCTTCGTGTTGCGGTTCGCTGTAGATTCTGATGTCCTTCATGTGCCTTTATTGTACGATTTGCTAAATCTTCCAGCTTCTCGGCGATGTTTAGATACGGGCAAAGAGGACACGCTTGCATCAGCACAACCGACAAAATTCGGCGACAGGCATGCGCATGCTAGCAAACTATATGATCCAGGGCCTGAGCTGCCCCCTCCCTTCCCATCCCATCGCATCCACTCGCCGCCCGCCGCCCCCCTGAAAAGTGATGCCTGTGGTCTGATTTGGGGCGTTGGAGTTGATACATGTTTAGTATTGCAACTATCTAGTATTGTCAGTCTTAATACAGGTGGTGTTGGTGTTTGCCTTTTCCCTGCCCCTGTCCCAGTGGCATGTTCTTGTGCCTTTGCTGGGTTCTCCTGTGCAGGCACTGGCTATCACGCGGTTCACGACATCGATGCGAACCCACCACTCCCTTGTGGTTGGTGCGAACGGTATCCGCAACCTGCCCTCAACAAAACAACGAACGTCATGCAAATCACGACTTCGTGCCAGCCATCTTTGCGGGCGGAGTTGGCCCGCATGTCCCAAAGCTTGCGAACGTCCGAAGGAACGTGACGCCAACAGGTCTGATGTCAGTGCCGGCCAGCATGTTTACATGGTAGCGACGATCCTATCCTCGGAAGTCGACGACTGTCACGAGGATGGCGGCCCCAAAGGTTTTGAGTTTGGCAGGTGATTGCTTGTACAAACAGGCTGTGGAAGGGAGAGAGGAGCTGACACCATGGTCGGGAGCAGCAGCACGGGGCCCGGGATTACAGATAGTCAGATTGCCAGCTGGTGAAGACCGAAACCCTAAACCCTCCCGCAAGAGCTGCACTGGTTTTGGATACCTCGGTGCGTCCTCTTTACACCGGGCGCGAAAGCACACTCCCAAACCCGTGACTGCCCCAAAATGTTCGTGTTCCGAACGCAAAATCGCAGAGGGCAAAGGCCGAGGGAGACAGCAGAGAGGCTCGGAGGCTGGAAAGCGCATCGGCGGAGGAGCTTTTGAAGAGAATGCGAACGAATGTTCCCGCAACATGCCGGCCGCGCGCAAGGCAACAAAACATGCCTGCAGCGCGCCTCCGCCAACCCGCCCCCAACAAGCCCGGCACGGATTGTGCTCGTCCAACCTCTTTACGGCGTGTGTACGCCTTTCTCATCCTTCCGTGAAGCCTTCACACTATTTACTGCTAGAGCTGGATATTGGGCAAAATGGTATGCTTTTAATCTACTCTATCTTTCCATATGCGTTTCAGTTTGAGCTTGCGTCGATCCACCTTGCGCTATCTTTCAGCCTGAAAAGACATACTTGGAATACTTGGAGATGTCAAAACATAATACTAACAGGGTGTCATGCCATCCAGTATATCTTAAGGCTATCGTCACATAGTTGTTCTGTCAGTGAAGACTAGGAGTCATTTGCAACATGGTTGTAACAGCAGCTCGGATACCACTCACTCACATGTCGCTCTCCTTCTTAGAGTATAACGACCAACTGTGCATGTGTGTGCTGCCGGGACTCCGGTGGCTTCGTTGGTTCTTCAACATCGAAGCGGACCTCCACTTGGGATGCCGAGTCTGCATCGATCAGAGTATCGGGTTTCGGGATCGCACCTTGTAAAGCCGATCTACTTAGATACATGCGGCCGGCCGCTAAGCCTAAGGCTGCATGTGTATGTATAGCACCCAGGACTTCGACTTAAACCGGAAGCCCAAGAAGCCCATGCTGGCCCCAGGTCGTAAACCCAAGAGACCCAAACCCCTCGATCTTCCCTGGTGTTGAGCTCGAACCGCGATACTGGTATTTAAGTTCGCTTCGGGCTGAACGATGTACAATGCGTTCAGGTTGGCTTGGGTATCCGGTGGGACATCGGTAGGCCAAACAACTAGCCCATGCCCACAACCATACTTTGAGGCTATGCAAAGCCGTGCTGAGGGCTGAGTTTTGAGACGCAGTTATGGGTGGGGTGTCAGCAATCGGCCAGGCCTAAAAAAACGCATCCTCTGACTCCATTCAATCTATGCAAGTACTTGCGGCCGCCCTTGTTGGAAACCCGGGGTCGGTCCACCTAGACTACGGGGCTGTTGAGTGTCACTCAACTGAACACAAGTTTTGACCCACAAGCTCTCAAATCTACTCTTGCCATCCTGTTGTGACGAAAGCCTACGTAGTGGGTTTTCTTCACAACTTGATGGCAAGAGGATGAATCTGGTTGAGCACACCTCAAGGACCTCGGACGGTGTCTGCCGGCTGGCCGTCGTATCCGGATAGGCCTTATAAGACAAACAGAGTGGCACCCCAAAGTACAGATCATTGGCTTGACCTCGCAGCATTTCGCCTCCAGAAGCTGTTGCCGGAAAGCCGACCACGAGCTGTCAAGCAGCTCCGCGAACGCCTGAAGCAAACACTGCGCGTGGAGGATGCCGTGCTATCAGCGAGATGACTGGCAAGGCAAGGCCAGCATTTTCAAGCGAATGCCTCCCGATTCGTTGCGCGGCCAATGCTGCTAGGCCACATGGTGACAATATCGTGATGTGTCAGGATAGCACTGTGCGAGTGTGGTGCTGAGAGTCATCAAATCTGTGGCAAGGGGGTGATGCTTTGAATCTCGAACTACGGGTGCCTGTTGCGGTGGGATGCAAGAATTCGGGCACCACCTTTGTGGGGGTCGCTCTTTTTTGGAAACTAGTGCAGGATATCTGTGGAACAAAGGGCGGTGCGTGCGGTGGTACTTGCTGCGACAGCTTGATCCGAGAAGCCGCGGCAGCCAGGTTGTTTGACATGCAATGAGCTGGCTTTTCAGCTGCATCTTTGTGCCACAGCCTCGTTCCGAACAGCTTCGAAGACTCAGCATTCGGCATTTGCAACGTGGAAGCAAGCTTCGGCACTACGTGCTTTCGGGGCTCTTGTCAGAACTTGTCACGGCTTAGCACTGGCTCCCGGTATCACTTGATGCTTGAAGCAGCTTTCTTCCCTGCAGCTGTGGTGATTACAGAACTGGCTTTGCAAGAATGCGATTCCTCTGGGCCATGGAAGCCTCGTGGACTTGACGAGCTTCAGAGTCTCCTCGCAAGGGGAAGCATGAAAAGAGCGCCCTTCGCTTGCTCTGAGAAAACCCCTCGCTGTCCAGGATCGTATCGAAACCTGGACGACCGCTGGAACCTCAGAGGCAAAGCTCTGAGAAGCTACAGAGAAAGTGCGTAGGATGTGCGGCGCTCGCTCGCTCGGGTGCCCGCGGTGTGCCCAGCAACATTTCATGGTGAAGCGAAGGTCGGCGGGGGTGTCCTGCGCCGAGCGGCTTCGGGTCGTGGCGAGTCTGTCTGAAGCGGCCACTTCGCATGATCTGGTCTGCCCCAGTCCCCGCCGGCGCACTTCGGAGGGCTTCCGAATTCCATGCCGAAGCAGATTACTGGAGAGCCCGGCTGTTGTCTGTGCCCCGAGCTGCAGCCGTGCAGCCGAGTTTACTCGGACTCTGAACTCTCAACCGGCCTCGGGGATGAAGGCCACGTCCGGCCGCTTGCCCCTGCTGACGGCCACCGCGATGGATACCGGCTCCAAACCTGGCTGACGAAACTGTCCTGGTCTGCTGAAAAATGGTTTCTGGACGTGTGAGGTTACACTGGGGACAGAACATGAAGAAAACCGACGACAATAGCCGCGTCGAGAACTTATACATTGATGTCCGATGAAAGTTGGATCCCTGCAGCGCCCGGTCACCGCGAAGAGGTCATGACTTGCGAAACAGGTGATGGCTGGCAGTCCGCCAGGTCCAAAGGCAGAGGAGACGTCGATTTAAGCATAGCATGGCTGCCGTCTTTCTCGTGTCGTCTTGCATGGCACGCGGGTGTATTTGTGATGTGTGTGTATATATATATATATATAAATAAATAAATATATATATATATATATATATATATGCATACACCCACCTACCCACCTGCCCGCCTGCCTGCCCACCTGCCTACCTGCTCTCTGCATACTTATGTATGTACGTATGTATATATGCATGCATGCATATGTGCATGGATGTGGATACTGTGAATATGTATGTGCATGCTCATGCATCGATCTGGGCGTGGCTGTGCTACTTCGTCACTGGCGAAGGGTCGGCAAGTTTCGGCGGTGCGTAGGGATGTTGGCATTCGGGGTATCGCAAGCTGCGGTCCCTCAGTGCAAAACTGTGGGTGGGCCTGACCCCTCGTACGGGATGCGCCGGGTGATGAGCTCGAAAAGGCAAATGCCATACGAGTAGACATCGACCTGAGTGTCGCAGTGATTGCTCGGGATTTCGAACCCTTGAAGATATTCGGGGTTTTGGGTCGAGTCCAGGAGAACGAAACCCCATGCCGCATTTCTGAAGCCTCTTCATGTTCAGGTCCCGAGCTTTTTCGTCGTAGCCTTGGCCAGACAGGACCTGTCAAAACAAGCCGTCATTCGAAATGCTGGGACCCGTTCTATCTCCCTTCCCGGATGACTCCCATATCCTCTCATTTCGACGGACTTTAAGCTAAGTGTCGAACAACTCGGAGGCTAGGCATCCGACAAATCTTTCGGCACCTCAAGCCCAAACCCTCGTGCGGCGTGCACGCCTCCGGAGCCATCCAGTGGTACGTTCCGGCACCATTGGTCATCATGGCCTCATGTGTGTGATGGCTTGCGGCGGCTTCAGGTGCAGAGAAGTCAGCATTGAAATTGAGACTTGGGGCACGAAGCACACCGTGACATGGCTGCTCGCAGGGCGAGCAACAAACAAGAACACCAATGAGCTAAGCAGATGTTGCGACAAGCTGTCTGTGCAGATCTGGTTGCGGGGGTGCGCCTGTGGCAAGTGCCACAGAAATCCGGCATGTCACAAGGATTCACAGTGCTTGGCTCTGTGAATGCCCAAATATGACAACGGCCCACGAAAGCTACATCGGGGCCTTGTGCTTAGAGCGATTTGGGCTATGACAACCCAAGGCCAACGTAAACTGACGTTCTAGGATGCGCCTGCTTCCGGTTTTCTGGCAGAGGCGCTGCGCCGAATCTCATGGTTTTCAATCGCCATGCGTCCATGCGCACTCTGCATGATAACAGATTGAACTGTGCTTCGGCACTGGGATGGGAGACCCCAGAACTCTCTACTCCGAGCTTGTTGCAAGATGAGTTCATTCTGATAATTTGTACTTCCGACAACCGCTGCCGTCTGGTTGCAGGCCTGCGCCGCATCGGGGCGGAAGGCCCGCGACAGGCCAAAGTCTGACACCTCGTGCTCCCACGCCAGGCAGTCGTGAAGCTGCCTTTTTGTTCCTCTCTTTCGGGTGCGACCGTTAAGAACCCGAAGCTTTTGACGCAATGCTGGCTTCTGGGGAGCTCTCTGACTCCAGCGAAAGACATTTATCAGCCATACGGGGTGGCATAGTACGCGGAGGGCCGAATCAAACCGCGGCCCCAAAACCGAAACTAAAATGGCATAAGCGGAACATGTGAGCGCCTTCACGGCGGGAACATCATCGGAGCCACGGATCGGGCAGGCCAGGAGCAAGTTCAGCGATTTCAAGTCTCTGTGCACGACCTGCCGGCAGCTGAGGGCCAGGAGGCTATAGTATAGAGGTGCTTCAAACCAAACCCGAGCCCCAAACCGCAACAGCCGGGGAGCGTGGCCTGCCGCCGATGGAGGAAGTTCATCCCCTGGCAGGAAGCTTGGAAGCCACAAGACCACCTCGCTCTAAAATTCGGCTTGAGCATCGGCACACAGCTCTGATCGCCAAGCCTTCGCCACGTCCAAGGCAATCGGGAGCCGCTGAGGCCAAGGAAGCGACAAATCGCGGCGCTGATGGAGCAAGGCCTCGCGCCACAGAAAACCCAAGAGGCTACTTCAGCCAAAAATCCAGATTCCTGTAAAACTGGCTCTACAGCTGCAAGGTCGACGGTTCCTCAACTTCGGGTGGATGCTTGGGTGATGCTTTTGCCCAGAATGCGTGCCCGATGCTGATTGAGATCTGCCAGGGGATGGTTTTGTACTTTTTGCGAGCTTGATGGCCTCCAGACCAAAGCTTTTCCTCTGTGTTGTGGGAGAGTCTTGAGTCGAATGGCGAATATCTTCATTTTCTAGCTGGCACGAGATGCTGCTTCTCCTTGTTTGCCTTCTTTCCCTGAGCTTGAGGCACCGCCTCTCTACCCATAAGGCTCTGACAAAGACAGTCCCACCAGAGCAGAACTCCGAGATGATCAAAGCTTGAGGGGCCTCCAGGGTCTGCATTCAGACACGACGAGTTCCACCCTTCGTTGGCAGCGGACAAAAGGCGTCGCTGCTTCGGGATGCAGCGCTTGTGCACGCAGCTCGCTTTCATCACTGATCATCACTGTCACGGAAGTCAGGAAGCGCACCGATCCGCAAGCCCACAAGATTCTCCTTTCCCGCTCCTTGGTGCAGGCGCCCATGAAGAGCACCAAATTCGGGTGTCGCCTGCAGCTTCTCAGACTGCTGGGTTTATTGTAGGCATGTAACGACGTAACGATCGTGAGCATCTGAGATTCTTTGCTACGAGCTCAGCTGCCTGGATGGTGCGATGCTCTTGGACTGGCTTCGTCTCTCGGAAGACTGCTCTTCGTTACTACTTGCCAGACATCCACAGAATGTGTGATTGCACCCGACACAAGTGCCCGTCTGTGTCCGCTACTGGCATCGCTCAAGGCCCAGGCAAGCGGAGTAGCACTGAGATCTCACGCTTGAATTCGGTTGAAAGTTGGCCTGCAGGAGCCAATAGCCCTCCCCCTATCATGAAGTTGCCAAGGACTTTCTACCATCAGAAACACCATGTCTGAAGTCTACAGAACATCCTACTTTAGGATTTCCGTTCGTCCGATACGGTATGTGCGCATGCCAGCGGAGAGACCTACCCAAGCACCTGCTCATACAAGTCTAGCTGAAAAGTAGAAACTCAAAACAAACCTATCTTTGCCGACTTGGCCTTTGGATCGCAACTTCTTTGCGGCCACGTCTGTTCCATGCCAGGTTGCCCTGTACACCTGGCGTTTGTGGTTGGCTGCTGTCAGAGAAAGGATCTGAACAGTCTTGCAGGAGTAGACTTCAAGTGAGCTGAAGACAACATCAAGGTGTTTTCTCTGTGAACGTCTGTACGGTTCTGCCCGGTGTCCTGCAAGGATGCGAGAGCCGTTCTACATCTCCGTACGTGTGTGTTTCGGGGAGACTTGTTTCTGCCCTGGCCCGTCCTCCGCCGTGCTGCCGGTGCCGATAAGCTCTTCCAGGCACACCTCCTTGGAGGGCGTTTTGCAAAGGCTGAATTTGCAACAGACTCAACAAACTCCGAGCGGCCAGGCAGAGCAGATTCCGAAGCACAGTTCAGAGCTAGTAACCAGTCTTTTCTGCAAAGGTGCCGATTGGTCCACCTGCCGTGCAAAACGAATCATGACTGGGACGACAATCCACTAGCAGGGAAGTGGCGGTATTCATGCTGTGGTGCGAGTTTTTTCTCGCCCTTTGCGATGATGCTGACATGAACTATTTGAGAGACCTTGTCACTCGGCGCCGGTGATTACCCTGAATCCCTGAGAGGTTGAGGCCGCTGTGCGAATGAATTCGCAAACGAGATGATCCATAGAAGGTCTTGGTGCAAAACGTGAACAAGGTCTTCAAGCGCAAAAGGTATCTCACGTTCCATCTTCCGAAGACCTCGTCTTGCAATGCAGCTGGTGCTCCTTCTTGCTGTGCGCCCCAAATCCGTAGTCAAGTGAGTCCCCTCCTAAGTTAAGAGTTCGCCGGAAGCCTCCCATTCAGCGACGCAGGGTGGGTTAGATGTGTCCTGCGCCGCGATGCGCAATGGCTCAGCAAGCACTCGTTGCAGACCTAAACTTCCATAAACGGCATAATGCTACATACAGCTGATAGCTTCACCCAGATCCAAACTAATCCACGGCCCAACACCTCTGACATGTATGCTGACTTTCGAAAACTGTCCGCCCTGCCCTTGCTGCGGAGAATCGCTAGCAATACTAATAATTACATGTATAGGCATAGGATGCAAAGCATCGTTGAGACGCAGGACTTTCCTGACACGTTTTGTCTTGGCGATGTTGCGCCCAGTGTGTGTTGAGCTTTCTGGTACCTCAAAGTCAGATCCTTACTGATGCCTCCATGCATGCCAGTGTGGAGTCTCATCGCACATTCACCATTTGGATGGACCGAGGGCTGCATTGCACACATCCAGACATCCAACACGTTGGCTCTGTCCTGCCAAGGTGTCGGCCTGGGCGCCGGCCCTGGCAATGGAGCCTGGTGAATCGCGGCCGGCTACCAAAGTGGAACGAGGCAGTACTACGTCAATGTCAGGTGAGTATAGGGGGTAACAGTGTCACTACTCCGCTCTCGCTAGTCTTCCATGGGCAGGACCTCTGTTCGACGTCGCCAGGGCCACTACCACGTGACTCACTGCACTCCACTGCTGCTCTGACGTGACAGTAGAGAGGAAACCGAGCTGTCATTCAATGTCAATCTGCCTGCGAGAGAGATGGTGGCTCACCAGCCGCACCTCGAACCATCTGGGCTAGATTCTAGACTGCCAATCGCTTGCCTCCATCAATGCGGAAACTGCTCTCTCTGTTCAGGCACCGCTTGAGCTGAGATCGCGACGCGCCCGTGCCTGCTCGACTTTTGGTGGGGTTCGAAGGCTGGCAACTTGAATTTCATTCGGGTGTACCCTCACCATCCCTCACCAGGAGAAATGGTGAGGTCTTGTCGGTCTCGATGCATTGCAGCACCAAAAACGTTGGCCAGGGGGAGGCCTGTGATATCCATTCCAACAACAATCACCACTCTGACGTACTGAAAACCAGTTCGAACAGCTCCTCTCCACGATACAAGTGTGAAACAAGGCTTGTGAGCACTGACCCCTTTTGCCTTGTGTCTAACTGCCCGCATGATAATCTGCATAAAGCGCCCAACGCATCTGACTGGGATGTTAGCAAGACAACATGCACCCACTTCTGTTTTTTGCGAGGAATGTCCATGCCGTCGAACTTCTGCTCGCGGTCAACGGCTGCTACTTTACCTCTCAGAGCAAAGAACTCTCTGCAAGGACACTAGTTGCTCGATTTTGAACCGATTTCTCGATGCCTGCTTCCGCTGGCAACGTCTGTCGCGGTGAATGCTGCTGCGCTCCAGCTTTGCTGCGTCGCTGAGACTTCGACGGCAGCACAGCACATGTCGAAAAGAAGCTAGCGCACCGAAATCATACTGTCAGCAATGCTGTCAGCTGAATAGTGGCCCCCCCCGGCACAACAAAAACACATCTAGATGAGGCATTGCCCAATTCCTCCACACGAGCGGCGGCTGTGGTTTCCCTGCTTCTTCGTAGAGGCGTACTGCACCGGAACTTGAGTCGCCCATTGCACGACTTGAACCCCGGCAAGTCCTGAAGGCCGTCGTCCTAGTAACTATGCAGAGCAACATCCTCGGCCCGGGATTTGCATCATTTCAGCACCCAAGCGGTGCTTAGCTGCCGTCCCTGCCGAAGGCTCGAAGCACCTGAGCAGCTCAACAGCTCCCACCCGTCAACGTGCAATTGTATCATGGCCGCGAAAACTCTACCTGGCCAAACCGCTTGCCAGAATTGTTGTGATAATACTATCCTGGGCTGCATAGGTTCCGCTCGGACCTGCTAACGATGGCACCACGCTGCCGCCTGAGCCTTGCACAGTCGCCTGTGCAATACTGCATAGGACACTCCATTGGTTTCTAATGACTTTGATGCAAAGCCCGTGATGGTACTAGAGATGTGCGATAGACTAAGACCTCGGAAAGAAGGCGATGGATTTCTTTCCAGCGAGTCAAACCTCTCGCGACAGCTTCAGGCTTACTAGTTCTCGGTGCTCGGATGAGCTGTGGCCTGCACAGCTTTGAGTTTTTGCTTTTCGTGCTTTCTCGTGTTAGTCTTGCAAGTCAACCTGAACACATGTACATTGAAACACGCAGCCCAAAGTTCGAGATTAATTTTGAATCTAGGATGCTTGCACACCTGTCCGCAGCACCAGACTCACCAGAAATTTTAGAAACGACAGGAGGATTCCTTTTAGGCACCATGAGAATCACAAGCTCGTTCACGACAAGAACACTCTGAACCTAGTGATACTGTCGCATCTCATGCCATGGGTCCGGTAGCCTCTCGCTCGAACAGTTTGTGCCACGCCGCAGTGAAAAGCGAATCTCAAAGTCCACTTGGCCAAACTCATTGGGTTCGGGGTTGATGGGTTGCTTAAAGCCAGAACCGAGGCGAGTAGTGAATGGGTCTATGGGCTTCTTGGCTTATGCACATATGTCCAAGTAAGGCATTCCCTGCGCTGTGCTTGCTCGTTGCGGCTGGCTGGCGAGTACAAAACAGGTTTGCGCAACAACAACAACAACCACGCAGATCTAGCGAAGCACTGCCAAATCCACAATGCTGGAACAACTTGGGTACAAGGATCCACAAAAAGTCGGGACCTTCTCTGCAGCAAAGCATCTCTGTGTTCCAGCTGCCGGAGGGCTGCAGACACGTTGACCGGTGGCTTCGTGCGAAGTGGAACCTCTCAACGAATCGGCAACGTCAAATTTTCATATATTTTCATCAGCAACAGATTAAGGGACCATCATCTTACAGACCCCAAGTCCCAAGCAGGAGCATCGTCAGTACACACAGACCTCCAATTTAAGAACACTCCACTTGCTGTGGCTCTGAGAAGGCACCTGGCGGGGCTGCCGCGTCGTGCCGTTGGTTCGGCCTGGGTTTCCGACACGGCCAGGAGGCGGATTGATGCTGAAAGTGGTTGAATTTGTCTGGCAATGTCTGGCACTAGATCCTTTATATGCAAGGAGCCAGAATTCTAGGCGACTCAGCGAATCAGCCTTCCAGTTCCTTGGAAATCATAAGCCAGCCTTGCCGGACCTTCAGGAAAGCTTGGGTTCTGCAGCTGCAAGAGGCGATCCGGATATCGCTTGAACCCAGACCCGAAGAACTAGAACATCTTTTCTCCAAGTCCAAATCACTGTATTTCCGTTTCCGCCGCCATTTCTCGGAGCTTCGAGAAGCGTTCTGCCTCATCCAAAGCTCCGGCTCGGTCATCTCTTCAGCCTTGGGCCATGCCGAGATACAGTGCAGGTCGGGGACGTGCGTTTTTTTCGGTATTTTTGTCAGTTTTTTCTTTGTATTTTTTTCCGCTTGCCTGTTCCTATACAGTAGGGGTACTACAATCCCGAACGGGCTT